GCTCCGGCCAGTACCCGAACAGAAGCGCCCCACGAAGATGGAATTGTAAAACTGATGGACTTCTGCCGCCCTGGAAAAGAACCGCCTTTGCTTTTGTGAAAGGCGGCAGAGAACAGCTGGACACGTTTTTTAAAAACTGCCAACCTTATATAATTTGCTGTAAAAGAAAGTGGAGTGTCAACGCAACGCAACGCAGGGCCCTGTCCCTGACCCGCCCTCCACAGGACATGGCGAAGGGGCAGCAGTGAAGGAGGAGGCCCCCGTTGCAAGCCAGGGAAGCCCCACCTCCCAGGCCATGGTGGTGCTGGGGGGGGATGGAATGGAGGGGGGTTCTGGCAGCTTTCATGGCAAAGCCAGTGGCAATGGCGACAATGGTGGTTGCCTCCGCTGGGGTGCTGCTAGCCGGGGCAGCTGGGGTTGCAGGGGTCTCCCGAGTGGAAGACGCTGTAGATGCTGACCAGGGGGAATATAGCGAGGGCCCCCACCATGGAGCCCAGCTGGACCACTGCCCCGCACCAGACCAGGGCGCTGCGCCCCTCGTCCCGCAGGATTTTCCCAATCATCAGCTTGACGTAGGAGAAGATGCCGACGAAGAGGACCCAGCACAGGACCTGGACAGAATGAGAGCGTAGCCAGTCAGGCCTGAGGCATCTCCGTGCTACCTCCACCTGCCTCGCCCCCACCCCTCAGGGCACGAGGGAGCCCCATTCGCCCCCCACGTGCTTGGCCACCCTGCTCGGAAGGACGTTGGGGCTGCCCTATGGCGGATGCCTGTGCACGGCCAGCTTGGCTCTGCAGGCCCTCCCCCGGGTGGCCTCATCAGCCGCTGCGTGGCCCTAACTCAGGAAGGCCTTCAAAGGCTGCCTTGTGCACACGTGTGGGGGCTCCCTGCTCCCTGGGGGTTGGGAATGGCCCACGGGGTGGCTCTCTGCAGCGCTCCTGGTTCACCCTGCTCCAGTCAGTGCCAGGTGCTGCGGACCTCCTTCGGCTCCATTAATTGCTCTGTGCTGGGTAGCAGTACTAACTGCCGAGGACCTGGTTTAAAAATGGACTAAACTCAGTTAAGCACCTCAAGGTCCTCCTCTGTTTCAGTGCTACCGTTGCGAGATGCTGCCTTGTGTGGCAAGCGGGCAGTGCCTAACAGGTGCAGAAGCGGGAGGGTCTGCCTGCTCTCACTAGCTCGTGGTTCACTTGGCCGAGGTTCACTGAATAAGCTACAGCTAGCTGGGCTCAACCCCACACTGTCATAAACCGCGGCGGCTGCGTTCATACGACACACAACAGCCAAGGAGCCGCACTGCAGCTCAATGTGTCCTGAGAATTGGCCTTGGGGCGGGGGGGCAGGCTCTGCTCAGGCACCGCCCCTGAAGAAAGGGGAGGTGCTCCCTGACGCCCCCCCCGCTGCCCCCCCCGCAGCCTTGGTGACGCTGGGTGAAGCAGTGGGGGGCGGGGGGCTCCATTCCTACTTACGATGAGGAGAACGCCGAGGGGCAAATGCAGCAAGGGAGGGCAGGGGCTGAGAGCCGCCATGGTCACGATGTAACAGGCCAAGAGAGATCCAGCAAAGGAGAGCAGAGCCAGGAACATCAGAGACCTGGAGGGGTGGGAAGGGCAGCAGGGGGCGGCAGCTCCTGCCCTCCCGCCAGTCCATAGTCACCCATCCGCCCGCTTGCCGCGTCGGGTCA